GTCCAAAACAGAAAAACAAAAAACTACAGGAGGCAAACCACGTCACTGATCAGGGCAGACGTCTGACAAGCTCACTCGGAGGTGAAAGTGGGTAGAGTTCGGAGACGAGAAAAAGTAAAACTTGACCTTCAAGGGGAAACTGCTGGACTTCACCAAGGCTTTTTTACATATGTCCCGCAGTGTCACCGAAGTGAGTAGGAAAAGGGGGTTTCACTGTGGGCTCCTGCAGCCCCGGCCCTTCTCAGCATCAGGTGGAGCCTTCGTTTCCATGGAGAGGTCGCATTTAGAGGCTAGAGTGGGCCCTGGTCCCCTCAAAGGGCTTCTCCCCCTTGAAAAGTCATAATCGAGAAATGTGAATAGGCCTGAATCTTTGGGCTTGGAGAAGATAGGCGCATATTCACCCCAAGGTGACACCAGTAATCCCATAATCTCAACCTCGGGTGCCCACCCAGGCCCTACCGTGTGCCAGGCACAACCCGCGTACCCACAACGCCAACGGCCAGTTAAAGAGGGGGACAGAGGGCTTCAGTGCCTTGCTCGAGGCCCCGCACCTGGATCGGGGCTGGGACCACCCGGCACAAAGCCAGACCCCCGAGGGGGTCTCCTCTTCTCGCTCATCCCTGCCTGTGGGCAGAGCGCCTTCTCCAGAGTCCTCTCCATCTCTCATCTCAAGTGACCCTTCCTTCAGCGCAAGCCCGGGCGGCCTGCAATCAGACCCGCTCCCATCCCCACTAGCTGGTGCGATCGGGGGCGAATTCCTTCACTCCTCTGGCCCTCGGTCTCTCCATTTGCAAAAGGAGGACAGTAGTAAGAGGACCTGAGTGAGAGGGTTGCTGTAGGATTAAAGGGCCAAACCATAAGATCACACCAGGGCCTGGTACACAGTAAGTGCCTAATTCGTGTTAGCTATCCAGAAGGCAAACAATAACAGGGCGGCCCTCTCCTCTGAGGGGAGGAGGGGTGGAGGCTGGCTGAGGGTGCTCAGACGCAAAGGCTGTCTCTGGGGCTTGCCCCGGCGCCCGTCAGCATAACCCGGAGGCCCCACTGCGGACAGGACCGGTACGTCTAGGGGAATTCTTCCCACGCGGCAGCCCCTCCAGACACGGTTGGTGGACTGGATGGTGTTCACTGTCTTGTCGCTATGAGGCAAGTTGATGAAAAGAAAGAGGGATGCTCCCGGTGGGGTTTCACGGGCTGTTTGGTTCTTGCTGTCTCCCCGCAGGAGGCCCGGCCCAGAGGCTCATCACCACAGCCCAGTTGTCCTGAGTGCTGGGACAGGTGCTGCTGGACGATGTCACTGTGGCTCTGTGCAGACTCAGCGGGGACAGCACCCCCGTGTCCGAGGCCCTGCGGGGGGGAGCGCCACGGCTGGTGGCGAGCTGTCACTCAGGCAAGCTGGCACCTCTTGCCCTATCAGTTGATTTTAATTACGCCACGCCGACAGCTCTGAGAGTCACCCGGTCTGCTGACGCGTGATTTATGCCTCGCGTTAGCTCCTGGCTAGATGGCCGGAGGCCTCACTGCCCACCCCGGCCCTGCCACCCAACCTCCCTGCAGGTTTGGACGGTGGTGGCCGGCAGGGGCGTGCAGGGCTTCACCACCTGCGTCCAGAACTCCCGCAGGGGACTCGGGGCCCCAGTGGGACAGCCCCTCGGCGATCCTAGCTTGAGTCCTGAGACGCAAGTTGCGAGGCACTGTGTTCCATCTGTTTTCTGTCATGGAAAGTAGACCCACCGGCTCTCTCCCCGCCTTCCCCGCCCTTAACCGCATCTGCTTCTCTCACTCTCTCTTTTTCTTCTTAATGTAACGATGATTTGAAATTTCTATATAGGGGAAAAAGGCCACCACAGAGAACATTCTGAGACGCTGCCATGCGCCATTGCAAGAGTCCCCACGAGCTGCCCCGGCCAGGAGGGAAGAGAGGCAAGAGGGGCGTCCGGACAGCAAAGGGTTACCTGGGACACCGCAGCTGCCCCGGGAAGACATCCCATTGCCTGGTGAAATGGCAAAGGGAACGGCCACAGGGGATCAGCACAGAAACACCCGCAGCTCCAGGCAGGGCCCCCCTGAGGAGTAGCTGGAGGAGCTCCGAGGCGGGGAACAGGTCGCCCTCAGCTCCTGGGAGCCTCCCTGCCCTGGGACGACCTCAGGTGCCAAGGGCCCCCTGGGAAACCGCAGTCTCTCTGAAGGTCAAGACTGCGTTTTGTGGGCCAAGGACATTTAGAGAGCTGTAAAAGGGACCGTTCTTGCTAATGCCATGAAATTATACTCTGAGTCCGAATAACAGTGGCCCGCGGCAGGCAGAGATGTAATTTTTCTCAAATGTGAAATCTGGCTTTTAGAGAAGTTGGAGGCTGCCCCAGTGGGTGTTGACAGGGCCCCTTTCTCTGGGCACGTTAAGTGAGCCGCACGGGAGCTGTGACCTTGTAAATGGTCCCATTAAAATAGTCACCTGGGAGGCCTGAGTGGAGCAGTTGCCGCCTGCAGACGTGACGGGACAGGGGAGCGTGGGAGGGATGCTTGGCGAGGAACCCGAGGAAGCTTGTCCCCGGACCATCCAGCTATTCAGCGGTGGCTGCATGTGTCCTAGTCACTGTGGGACAGAGGAGGACAAAGCCGTGGTGATGGCTGTGTGGGCGGAACGGTGGCCTTTCCCTGTGCTGATCCCTTGCTGGGCTGGTCCTGAGCAGTTTTGTGTCGATTAACCCCCTTAGTGGCTCAAGGTCATGCTGCGGCCGCATTCTGCCGTCTCAGTGCCGCTGTGTCGTGGACGTCCAGGTGCTCTGGGCGTCCAGGTGCTGTGGACGCAGCCCTGGCTGGTCCACCATCCCAGAAGGAACATCCTATCTTCCCTGCCCGAAATCTGCCACCTTGACCCCTCCCTGTGTCCCAGGAGCCGTGGCTTCTCTCGCCCACCTTCTCCCCTTTCTCCGTGGCTTCTGTTCCCAGCCCGTCCCCTCCACTCCTCTTAGTGACCCAGCAGCCTGGGGTCTTCTTGGGTCTGCAGAGATCGTGTCCTCCTCCCTCTCCTCTCTTCACCACCAGACTTCTTGTAAAGGGCGGAAGGTCAGTTGGAGCCTCACGCTTCCTCTCCACGACAGCTGCCCTATTTGTCCCTCGAGTTTTTACGGGACCTCCTGGGTTCGGCAGCCTCTGCTCTGCTGGCCCCTCCCCCACTGTCCCCTTCCTGTCCCTTCTTGCTCTTCCCCAGCGCATGTCCTGAGCTCCAAGCCAGGGCTTCTACCCACTTAGGAGCCCTCTCTGACCTTGCAAAACCCAAGCGCATTACTTCCCTCTCCCCACGGGCTGGTGCCCTGCTGTGCTCCCAGCATGGTCTCTGTTGGCGAAAGCTCTACCCCAAAACTCATGCAAAGCCTTCACAGGCTGTCCAGCTCCTAGTGAAGAGTCCTGGGAGGAGATGCTAGCTTCGTTCTTTTCTTTCTTCATCGCATCCGGTTGGTGGGGGGATGGGGGCGTGGCACCCAGGGCTCTATTTTGAAAATGTCTCTGGATTCCACCCGCATCCCCCCACCCTGTGCCCACGGCCCTGCTCAGACTGTCACTGCTTCTCGCCTGATCTACCAGCCTGTCCTCCCTGCCACCACCTCCTCCTTATGGCTCCCTCTCCACACCGACCTCAACTCACCCCAGCCTGCCCTTGTCGCCCCCTTTTTTAACCCTTCCAGGTCTTTCCTGGCTCTCCAAAATGAAATCAAAACCCTCAGCCTGGCTTGCGAGGCCCCTCGTGACCTGACGGGCTCTCTAGTCCCTGGGCTCCGTGTTCTTTGCGTTGCACGGGATCTAACAGTGCATGCCCGGAATGCCCATTCTCCGGGCCTCTCTGCCTGGGGGCGTTGCCATTCGTCCTTCCAGAGCCAGCCGAGCCGCCGCTCTGGGAAGCCACCTGGCCCCCTGTCCTCCTCTGGACTTCCTTGCCACTTCAGAAGTGGCTCTCACCCAGACCCCGGGCCCCAGACCCGTCCTCGGGACGCCCCTGCCCCCTGCAACATGAGCGCTGTGAGGACAGGGGCCTGCTGTGTCCGTCTCTGTGCTCCTGCAGCCCAGCTCAAGGTCTAGAACACAACAGCCTTTCAGTGTCTGCTGCTGGCTTGTTCGACAAAGCAATGCAGTCTTTATCAATGATGCAGGAATACATCTCAGACCGTCCCAAGTAATTGCAAATTCCAGATGAGAGGAGTCTGGAATCAAAATCCATGAGCCTTTTTTTAAATTTTAGAATGTCCTTTGATGCAAATGCAATCGATTGGTCATCAAAGGTTTTAAACAATGATGTCTTTGGGGTCTAGAGAGGTCACAGAGATGGTAACGCACGGCCGCTGGGGCCAGCCGGGAGCGGGGAAGAGTGAAGAAGGTGATGAGGGCGCCACGCCCGCCAGGTTGTCCCTCGCAGCCAGTGGGCTGGCGAGTCCAAGAGCCGCCCCCCGTCCCCGCCCGATAGCTGACAACCTTCCTGTTTTATGCCACCCATTCAGTGAATCAAACAGACCAGCAGCTCCAGCAGAAAATCTCCTTTTAGGATGCTGCCAGCTAGGCATCTGTAACTTAAAAGGCAAGAATCATCTGTGACCCAAGTCAGGAACCAGCACCTTTTTCCTGTCAATGCAGCAGCCCAAACTGCTATCCAGGTTAGCAAGTTGAGCCAGAAGGTGTTACACGACACACGCCAGAAGGCAGAGCAAGTGGTTCTTTGAACTTGATTACTTGTTTGGAAATACTTTACTCAGTAGAGAAATTGGGAGCAAAGGAGCTTTCTTTGCAAACCACATATTTTTTAAATGCATCTGGGGAGTGCCTGTGCAATGGAACGCTTTGTGGCTGAGGGCTCCAGGAAAGAGGAAAATTGCTCCCTGTGTAGAGTTTGGGGAAACACAGTTATTTTTACCTACTGGGTTTTCTCCAGGCCAGGCCACGCCCACCCCATCCAGGGCCATGAGCCTGTCTTTCCTGGACTTAATGGCAAGGTGTCTTCCTCCCTCCAGGCTGCCCCAACAACGAGCTGGAGCAGTCGGACAGGATTTACCGGAGCCTGTGGCGCCTGGTGAAGCCGACCCTCGCTTTGCACCAGGCGGGCGTGGCCAGCTCTGAGACGCTGTGCTATTTTATGACCATCCTCTACCACACGCTCCGCGCTTCCAACCTCTCCATGGTTCTCCCCATCTTGTCTTTCTTGCGGGCCGTGCTCTCTGTCCCCAGGCCCTCCAGACGATTTTGGATGGCACCGATCTATTACACAGAGGTAGGTGCCAAGGAGGCCCCCTCGCAGATCCAGCTCCTGCTAACAGGTGGGCACCCACCCACCCGTCTCCACCCCCCGTACCCCACACACCTTCGATGCAACCTCAGGGCAACACACTGAGTGCTCGTGTCCAGGGATGATGCGGCCGGGGGACCCAGAGAACGGAACCCCTAACGTTTCCCCTCCACACTCATGCCCTCCCAAAGGCAAGGTAGCTTTCAAGAGTCAGATACAGTGATGAACGGTGCTCGCACGGCACCTTGCACATAGTAGGTGCACGATAAACATGAGTGGGTTTATCCCACATCATCTCTGGCAAGGCATGTCTGTATTATTTTAATTTTATTTTGTTTTTTGGCATCTTGGACATAACTTACCAGCAGCCCTTGCTCTCTGCTGCTCTTTCTGACTCGGATGCAACATTTGTAAACTTGAAGACAGCCTGTCCATGAAATTAGTTAGTGCAAAAGTTAAGTACCAGTCATTAGGTTGTTTCTCCCATCACATCATTTTTATCAGCCTGGGGGGATGAATTATGGCTCCCCTGCCCCCCAGAGACCTGGACAGGGAGGGAGGGGAGCCTCCTGGCTCTGGGTTCCCTCCTTCAGAGTCACTGAAAACACCCCCGGGGGAAGCAGCTGCCAGTCTGGGCTCTCTCTGGTCAGGCTCCCTAAGCTCTGCTATCCTAGCATTTCTGAGCTAGGAAGAAAAATGTGGTTTAAAAAAACTAATAAACACCATTATAAAGAATATTTTAATCCACTGGAAGGAATATGCCTTTAAAAATCTGTGCTACATTTTGTATATATAAGTAGATCCTCCTAGTTACAAGTGAAACTGATCTCTTTTGATTTACTGCTTGTAACTGAGTCCAATAAAATTTAATTTCCCTAAAAGTCTTCCGACAATTTTGACTTTTAGTTAATACCATCTTGCACTAGAAGGCCTTGGTCTGGATAATCTGTGTGGTTCCACTGGGGCCCTGGATAGGCTGTTTGAAAGGCAGGTCAGGCCTTGTCTCCGATCGTAGTGAGAGGGGACACCGGGTCTAGAATGACAGGCCTGAGGTCACTGACTGGGGTCCACCCCTCCTCCCTCGGTGTTTATCGGCATTTGCACTATAGCAGAAAGGACCATACTCTTTAATGTGCACGTGGCCTTTTCCTAATCCACCGTGGGTGGGGAGGTCTCCCCCATGATACCCTGTTACTGCCCCGGAATCACCTTCACCTCCTATGAATCCAAGGTGGTTCTCACGGGGCAACCCCTCCCTTCCTGCCCCGGGTCTTTGAAGCTCCAGCTGCCGCCTGCAGGGCATAGCTTTCGATGGCCTTCCAACGCAGGGCACTTAATGGAGAGACAATCACAGATGCCGGCGCCTGACCTTGTCTCACAATGAACCGGGTTTCATTGGCCTAGAATCGGCTGCGGCCGCCTCATGGGCACTCTTATCGACAGGGCTGATTCTCTCGGTTCAGGTGGACTAACAAAAATATGTTTTTCTGCTCAGGGAATTACCGAGGGCCAAACTGGTTTAGATGTCCTAAACCAGCCCTGTAATTTTACAGACAAGGAAGCCAAGAGGGCATTGGGTCCAAGGCAGAATTTAAGACGAGGGCTCGAGTCCATACCACGTTTTGTACATTGAATGGCGTGCGGGGGGTCCTCCATCCACGGTTCTGCCCCTGGCTGCCCGCACTCCTGGGACAGACGAGTAGCGGCCACCCCCTGCCCACCCCCAGGAGAGAGGAAGCGCCTCTCCACTTCCTGCCCTTCCAAACAGAAGCATCACCACCCAGCCACTCCACCAAGGGGTGGGGTGGGGGGCCCTCGAGGCAGGAGGCTGTTCACCTGGCTGAAGAGCCTGACGTTTAGAAGTTTGTGAAACAGAAGCTTTCAAGAAACTCTGCGTGGCATGATGGATGCTTGATAACACAGCAGCACTGAAAGGCTGGGAGCTTCGGGTGACCTTTTCTGCTTGCCAAAGGAAACAAAGCCATTTTTGAGCATTTTCAGCATAAAAAAGTCTCTAAAAATCACTACTCCGCTACTGGCTTGTGAGAGGGGGCAGGCTGGGATAGCCGCCTCAGTCTGCCTGCCACACATCAAATTGATTTAGCAGGCAACAAGTGTCAGGAGAAATTAGAAAGGGAGTGATAGCTCAGAGAAATTAAAAAAGGTTGACCAGCCTTCAGCAGTGTCACATGGGGCCACTTACGTATTCACGGTGGTTTCTTATTTCCTTTCATCTCTAGCCTCTGCTGATGACCAGACAATTCCTTACATTTGTGAAGCCTGGCGGCCTATATAAAGAGCCTTCCTGGGCATTCACTTGTTTTAGGGGTGTGTGTGTGTGTGTGTGTGTGTGTGTGTGTGTGTTCAGGCCAGTTGCAATGACCTTGCCTCTTTTTCCTTCCCTTATTCAGGCCACCGTTGTGGTGAAATACTTTTCACAGTTTTCTTTCCCTGGACCACAAAACACTATGCTAGCATCAACAGGGAAAAGCCGTTTGCTCTGCCCAGCGTCATAGGGGCTGAGAAGCAGGCCGGGAGGTGCTGTGCGACCTCCTGCAGCCGCTGGCCCTGTTCTTGCATCGCTCCACCGTGAAGGTGCGTCCACCTCGAGAAGGGGGCTGTGACCTTTGACTGCACCCTCCACATTTGCTACTCATGAACAAGAGAGGCGGACTGGCCGAGGCCGGAGTACCTGTCCCCGCCCACCAGACGAGGAAAGGGAGCTCCTCTGCCCCGGACATCTCAACAGCAGAGACTGATGACTGAATTTCGGAAGCCTGGCTCAGCCTCCGGTCGTACAGCTGCTCTGTTCCCCGTTGGAGCGTGTTTCCCTTCCAGTGAAGTTTTAAATTATTTGGTTTGAGACTTTCCCGTTCCCGGTAACCTCCCGCAGGAGGCTGCACTGCAGCGTACGCCTGCCTCCTGGCTGCACTCGCAGGTCCTTCTCCCCACGCCCCAACCTCTCCGCGGCCTCAGAGCCCCTCGCCCCTTCCCCTGCTCTCCCCATCTGGCCCTGCGCTGCGGAGCCTTCTCCCTGGCACCGTCCTGGCCTTCCCTGGAAACCTCCTTCCCCTCTTCCTGCCAGGGACTTACTCCCTCCTCCCCACGGAAGGCTGGACGGGGACGGTGAGTTAGACAGCACGGGGAGGGCAGTCTGCTCCACAGAAGGCCGGGCCCTCCTTTCCTGAAGCTGCCCGCGGATGCGGCCTCTTTGCTGCGTCCTCTTCCCTCCTGCCGCTCATCTTTGCTGACCCCCCGGGTCCCCGCCCCCCGCCCCCCGCCGGCTCCTGCGTGCGGGCCCCGCCCCTGGCGCAGGGATGCTGCCCTGAGCCCAGCCGAACCTCCGCTCTTCGGTGGCTGGAATCCAGCCGGGCGGAGTCAGGAGAGGGGGTCAGGACTGGGGGGGATCCTGCCCATCCCATGCCCTGCTCACAGCCCAGGGACCCTCCCCTGGCCCAGGTCCTCTGTCTGCCTTTGGAGACGCCCCAGATCAACTGTCTTCAGGGAACTTTGAGAGCCTTTGCCGACTGCCAGGCTAACTGATCATTGGCTCCATGGTGGCCAGAACGGAGGAGAAGACGGCCGACCCCTTGGACCCTCTGGGCCCCTGGGCTGAGGCCCCGCTGCCTTGTGAGGTCTGCCTCAGAGAGGGGGTCAGTGCCCGCTCCCTCCTGGCCCTTCCTCCTCCCTCCTACAGACACTGGTCCCCGCCCCCTCCACAGCCCCGCCCCCACCTCCCCCTGGTCCCTCCAGGGCTTGGGGCTGTGGGACCAGCTGCTGTGGGACCAGGCCATTGCAAGGGGGAGAAGAGTAGGAGGGAGAGAAGAAAAGGCAGCAGAGAGGCTCCAGGCGACAGGCACCTCCAGAGACAGGCCAGCTGGACCCCTCCTCCCAGGAGCTGCCATTGCCACTGCCAGCCCCCTGCTGGGCCTTCTGGAGGCATTGGTGGGGCATGGGATGTGGAGGTAGGCTGCACCCCACTTGCCCTGGGCCCCAAGCCCCCCAAGGTCTGGCCCAAGGAGGAGTCCTCATTGGTCTCAACCCAGCTGCAGAGCCTGGGAAAGTGTAGGCCATTGGGGTCCCCAAATCCCTGGGCTGGGAGAGGGTCTGCGGTCCCCTTGTCCTTGCCCAGTGCCCAGGCCTCCCCATCGGCTTCCTCAGCCCGCGAGGCCTTCCTCTCTGCAGCCTGGGGTCCAGACCAGGGCCCTTGGTATCGGGGAGGCAACAGCGGGAGCCCCTGGCCCGGGCCCAGATGCTGGCGGCAACCACGTGGCACCCTCCCAGCCTGAGGGTGGGGGCAGGGTGGCCCCAGCCAAAACAGCTTCTGGAGGAAAAGGTCAAGGGGAAGGCCTGTGTCATTATGTCTTGCCAGGGGGTCCCCAAGACCTAGGGTGCATGAAGAGATGGAGCCTCCTCAGGAAGCTGCCATTCAGACAAAAGCGGCCCAGCAGAAGCTTGTTGGAGCCACCACTGCGGGAAGCCCAGAAGCTGGGCCTTAGAAGGTGATCCAGGAACTCTTTCTGGAGCACTGGGACCGCGAGTCCGGAGGGCTCCATCCTTCCCCCTTCCTCACAGACAAGAACCTCACTGCCGGTAGATCTGGCATGAAAAACATGGCCTCATGGTTATTGGGGAGCCGTGTGCTTCTGGGTGAAGACCAGGACCCACATCTTCCTGGGCCACAGGAAAACACCATGTAGGAGCCAGATCCCAGACTTGTGTCTACTGTGACCTTTCCCTCTCGCTGGTCTGTCTGTAGGACTGTAGCGGAGCGTGTGTCCATCCTTGCTTTTGTCCCGGCATTTCTCAATTCATACTTTGGTCTCTCCTTCTGTCTTTCCAATAATCCATCCACTTAACCATCTTTGCATGTACCCATCTTTCCGTCTTTCCATCTTTCCTTCTTCTGTCAATCTATTGACTCTGGATCCAAACACTCTTCCTTCCTTCTTCCCATCCATCCATCCATCCATCCACCCACCCATCCATCCATCCATCCACCCACCCATCCATCCATCCATCCATCCACCCACAGCCACCTGCCTGCCCTCCTGTTGCTCACCTGTAGGATTCCCTATATATCACAAACATGGCCGCCGTACTGTCTCATCCTCAGAGCTGTTTCACATTGACTCCAACACTTTACCCTTGCAGCTACCCCATGGCATAGTCAGGCCAGGGCTCATCAGCCCCGTTTGGCTGGTGAGGAGCCTGAAGCTTGGCAACAGAGCTACTTGCCTCGTGTCACACAGAGAGAACTTGGCAGGGAGAGAGTCCACCACACCGAGCTCTTCTCCACTCTGCATCTCACTGGCCTTTGGTTGAGACCCTCGAGAGCTTATGGTTGGGTTAGTGATTAGGTTGGACCTCAAGCAACCAGCCCTCAAGGGGGTGGAGATGAAGACATCAAGAGGCCGCAGCACGGCGGTCACTCGGGGGTCGACCCCTGCACACCAGGGCAGCCTCCCCTTGCCCTTTGAGAATACAGGTGTTAGGAGAATGAACCTGTGTGTGGTTCTCAGCCTCCACATCTGTCAGCTGCGACCTCCTCCCAGAGCCTTCTGGCCGGCACTGGTTGAGATGTGGTCAACCAGGAGGGCAGCCCTCGGCATCACCCTCTCTCCCGCAGGACCCTCCAGATCTACCACTCCATCAACCGGTTCTTCTCCAACCTCTACCGGCCGCCAGCCAGCCGGGTGCGCAACGTGTACACCCTCGCCTTCCTGGTGGAGATGCTCAACTTGGCCGTTGTCCTCTTTGGCTACTGGGCCTTTGGGGTGAGCCCGCGACCCCGGGCCCGCACAGCCTTCCAGACTGCCCAGCTCAGCACTTGGCTTTCCTGGGAGCCTCCACCCAGACGTCTGGGTTCCTGGGGCTGCAGTGTCCCTCCGGAGTTGGGGGTGGGTGTGGTCGTCAGTTCCTTAATAACCAGGCAGACGACAGGCTTTCTTAATAGCAGAGGGTGGTCTGTCTCGCTCCCCACCCCGTTTCTGTCCCTCTATTTAGAATAGCAATTCCACCAACTTCATTACTGAAATGGCTCTTGCTTTCCATGCCCCGTCCAAGTTGCTATGTCGCTGTTTTATTGCTTCTCTGAAAAGCCCCTACTAATTAAGGTGAAAGCCAGATACAAGTGGGGCAGGGGCTGCAGTGCAGGCATAGGGTCTCCTCCGAGTTGGCGGCATGCTTCTCTGTCCAGAGCTTCTGCCCCCGTCCCACTCCACCGCCCACCTCGCGTGCTGAGAATTCGTCAAGGCCCAGACCCTCACTCCAAGAACTGGGGCCGCTTGCCAGCCAGAGTGGGGCTGGAGGGAGGACAAGCCTACCCCGTAGCTCCCTCAGCTGTGGCCTGTGCTCCGTGGTCCAAGGGGAGGGGGGTGGTGACAGTGGGAGCAGACAGAGTCCCCTCCAACTTCAGATTTTGGGGGGTGAGTTCTGCTCTGTGTCTTGGGGCTCATGGAATTGTGAAGGGCAGCCCCAGCTGTCAAGGAACTGAGCTTTCAACTGAGGAAACAGGACACGTATCTGGGAGCAGCAAACCACAGTCCAAGCTGGAGGGCATCCAGCCTCCATGAGGCCAGATGGGGTCCTGGGGCTCGTAATGAACCCGCTTTGCTTGGGGATGGGAGGGGACGGGGAGGGAAGGTCAGGAGGGTTTCTGGAGCCCAGCAGCATCAGAACAGGCCTTGAAGGGCGAGACAGGAATGAGAGAGAGAAGAGCAGCGGAGCCCGGGGTTTTCAGGGCCCGAGGGAGGGACCCAGGTGCAGGGAGTGATGCAGTAGCGCAGAGCCTCTGTAATAGAGGACCTGGAGGCTGGCACACAGAGTGAGGGCAAGAGGGGCCCCCGAGGTCCAGGCTAAGAAGGGAGATGCCTCCTAAAGCGCCTGAAGCGTGAGGATGGCGGGGACAGGGGAGGGAGGCGCTCTCGGCCACACATCCCTCCGCCAGCCGCTTCCTAAGCCGCCTTTCTGGCTCCAGTAGAAAGACTCAGCCGCTGACCTGGTGGAGTCGCTCTTGGAGGAGACGGCGCCCAAGGCCTTCCTGGCGATGGGGCTCATCCAGTTTGGCACGATGCTGGGGGACCGGGCCCTCTACCCGCGGAAGGCCTTGCTGGGGAAGTGTGCCTTCCAGGTCCTCGGAGTCCTCCGCGCCCACTTCTGGCCCTTCTTCATCCTGCCTGGTGTCACCAAGAGGTACCCTGACTGCCTTGCCGGCCCTCCTTTCTCCCTCCCCACCACCCCCCCACGCCCCCGGCCAAAAGAAAAAAGGCAGGGCTTCCCTGGTGGCGCAGTGGTTGAGAGTCCGCCTGCCGATGCAGGGGACGCGGGTTCGTGCCCCGGTCCGGGAGGATCCCACGTGCCGCGGAGCGGCTGGGCCCGTGAGCCATGGCCGCTGAGCCTGCGCGTCCGGAGCCTGCGCTCCGCAACGGGAGCGGCCACAACAGTGAGAGGCCCGCGTACCGCAAAAAAAAACAAAAAAA